TACGAAGACAATGAACGTTTTTAACTTTGGACTTTGTAATTGATTATGGGACTCAGCAAAAACTCACAAATATACTTCACTAGAAGTTTATCCAATAAAATACATTTATAATACACTATATTGAAACGTATTTACAGTCCAACTCAGTTTTATAATTGTACGCAGGTCCCCAGAGTCAATATGCAGGTTGAATTGGCGACGATAGCAAAGATTATGTTTTATTCATAATCGGCAATAATACATATCCCTATACATTCGAGATATGTTTTAGCAAGGTCTTATACAATTAAGAAATCATGCAGCAAAATCACATTGTGAACACGAAAAGTATGAGATTAAGCACAGTTAAAGTCTGTAAAAACTGGAGCAAAAACATAAAATACCTGATTGAAATAGAGCCGTGATAGCTTAGTGTCCACTAAGCTATCACGGCTCTACCCACAGAAGACCAACCTTAAGTAGAAGTATTTCTTTATCGTTTCGTATTGTGGGTGAGGTAAGTTGTTGAAGTTGTAAATGGGTAGCGGTATTTATTTAACATTAGCCTTTTTTATGTTAAAGACAACGTCTGTAGTAAAAAAAATCACACAGTGTAGAGGTTATCGCCCTAAGAATTTAAAAATGTCACATATAATCTTCTATTTAGAGGAACAGTTTCAAGAAAAAGAAAACCTGTCCGAATTTCCACTAGAACTTAAAAACAGAGCTATTTGTTAATAGTAATACTACTTGAGCAATGTTTACGAAATCAAACGTTAAAAAGAAAGCAAACGTGTACTTGAAGGTGCTTACTAAATCAATAATGAGTTGGAGGTGAAATGAAAGTCAAATGCTTGAAACAAAATTTCACAAGTCGGTGTGTACAAAATAATTGTTACTTGCAAAGTTAAGTGGATTTAATGGTTTCATTGTTGATTGCGCCTTAAGAATATAGGTTCATCATTTCAAACATTCACCTAAAACCTGTTTATTATTTGTTTCTTTATGCAATTATATAATTAGTTGTTTAATTCTTTATTATTAAAGTAGTACGACTGGACAAGTGTCTAGTCGTAGACAAGTGTCTACCATACATTGGTAATTTGATATGCTCTTCGACTAAAACATCATACATTATATGACAACGAAGTCAAAAGCCCTTATGGTCTTCAATTTTCTGTTTAGTTCCAATACCAATAACAGATAAAAAATAGGCAAGATGTTGAAATGGAGAGCCAATGAGAGATTCGAATAAAGTAATTCTGGAAAAGACAAAATAAGAGTGTTTATTAAAAAACCCTGAATTAGGGTAGTATAGGTATAAGCGGGATTTATTAAAGAAAACTATTTTTATCTCTTATTGTATATTAAATGAGAGATATATCCACTGAAGAATTAAAATTATCAACGCCAATTTGACGTTACATTATACTAGCAGCGCGCATCCGAGCGCGGGCTTCCCAAATAAATCAATTGGTTCTTACATCGATCCGATACAAAAAGAGACGACGACCGTTTAAGATTCTATCCTTTTATTGTCCCTTAAAAAAGCAGGACACGTTTTCAATCTACAAATAAACGCGGCCCATTGAGGTCCATAAATCAACGGCGCGACGCGGACGGGCGTTCGAGAGCAGCCTATTTCCATGTCATTAAGGCATTGCGAGCGGCCAGTGTTGAATGGACAGTTTATTAATATCGTTCAGCGGTCAAAAGTTAATCGGGTTTAAGTCGCTCGCATCGCCCACGAAGATTCATCACAATCGTCATTATTCACACACAAATTATGTAATTTCAATAAATGGAGCTTATTGAATAGTGATGAGCGTCGGTAGGCCGCGGCGGACCCCCGTCGGGTACCGAGCAACGGACCGACATTACTGTTCCTTACTGGTGCCGGCTGTATTCACACTGCACCTTACATTACCACTTCGTGTACTTGGCCACAAACAAGCTTTGTAACTAAGCAGCAATGGATGTCTCATCACATTATTGGAACAGCTTATTGCTAGCACGGTAACTCCACCGGCCGCACTCCGTTCCCCATTGGTCTAAAATAAATGTATTTGTTTGAATAAATCGAACTATCGCCCGCCGAGGTCGCGGCTGGTGTTAATGAACCGGGCTTGTTAAGAAACTACAAACATAGTAGACGAAGAAATTGCCCATTATAACATTGTCTGCGGCTATTAATAATCGTTTAAAAAAGCGTTCAATGGACCGACGGTGTCCAATACGTAGTCGGTTAAGTGAGGTTCAAAGTTTACGTGCCGCTTAGGGTTATTCATCATCACCGTTGAAGAAAGGAGCTCAATAGATTGAGTGTCCGTAATTGATTTATAGGCAAATATTAAATCTGTTCTCGCCAGGGCTTCGCTGAGTAATGGCCGCGAGCCAAATGCCTAATGCCGTTTGTGATTTCGCTGCATACGCTAATCCGATCGAAGAAAGAGATGGAAAACGTTTAAAAAATTATGATAATAAATGCAGGTCTGCGTTTTATTCAACATTTGTCTTCTATATAATGGTACATTGAAAGTACTAGACAAACAAATTGACACTACATGTTTAATGACAAACAAGTTCCTAAAGAGTCTTCATCTTGATGAGGTGTAAAAGATCAAAATGAAGCATCGATTAAGGATTTTCTTTGGCAGTGAGGTGCGTAAAATGTCGTAGTTATCAACGTCAGGTATATTAAACCCCCGCAGTGAAATTAGATTATTGAAGCTTTTCATCTATAACCCATAAGTGATATACTTATTGTATATACGATAGGCATTAGAAAATGCTTTATACTACTTACCCAGCTTATTGATCCCCAACGGTACTAATGGTGACAGGACATAAAGATAGGGCCTACAGATTAAACATACTCGTTTTTTTTTTTATGTGAAAAGGCAGGCGATTCACCTGATGTTAAGTGAATACCACCACCCATGGACATCTGCTACACCCGAGGGTTGCAGGTGCGTTGACGAATTTTCGAAAATTGGACTCCGGCTACCTCACTCACCAGACGAACAACAACAGGCGAGCAACAGTGCGAGCTCGTGCAACAGGCGAGGCTCCTGCGTGGCCCTACCACAGTAAGAACTCGTAAACAGGGGTCAGCAACTTTTGTACACAATAAAAGGAAGTATCATTGGTTCACTAGGATTTGACCCGGTGACCTCTTTTTTTCAGTCTATTTTCCCCCTCATTACGGTCAACACTACTCGTGTAATACAAGACATTAACTTCTATTGTCGACGTCTACGCATCCAAATCTCAATCGGATGTTACAACAGAAGCGTTGGTATTGTATGCGCGGCCAATGAAATCTATCATCTGATACCGAACTGATGGGACGGAATCGACAAGGAGAACATGTATTGGACCGTTACTTGTAATGTCAAATTGTTGACATTATCCGCAGTACACGACCGCTCGCATCCTTATTTCAACACGCTTGTTGGCTTTATCTACGAGTACATGTAAAAGTGTATTTTCGTTGAATTTAACACGTAATCACACATATCGGAATAATAATAGATATACCGAATATTAAACAGTAATTTATTTCCCTTAAAAAATTTAGATCAAGACTTCGCATGAGAGCAATATTAAAAACGTTAGAATATAAATAGAAAATATGTTCTAAGGTCATATTTGTTGAAAGCAAATGTTGCCTCCTCATCAAATGCTTACATGTATTGCATGCGTTTCGGATTTTACCGCAGTAAATAATTGAGTGTTATAATAATGATTAGTATTCGAGAAAAATTAAGAAATTATTACAGGCAACCATAAATTTTTTTTTATTGTTTAATTGAAAAAGTAATGAGATTTTTAAAAGTATCATCGTGAAATATTGAGGTGGCATTCAGTCTGAGATGAGCATCATCTTGTAAAAATATATTAAATTCGAGTATGGACTGAAATAAGGCAATCTCTAACTCTAATTGTTTAGAAATTAATTGATATGTTAATTAAACTGTGTAACGTTAATTTCGATGATCAGTAAATAATATTTTTGATTTTAATTTACCATGTTCTGTTCTGTTTTTAATGTTATTCTGCGTGCTTTATAGAACGCATTAATCATTATGTGATTACGCTTATTAAATAAAGGAAAAATAAAAAAGAGGAAATATGTTGATACCCTGAGGCAGTCGGTGGCGGAAATGGCATATCGATTAAATCCGTTATGTTTTAAAAAAAGAAAAAACAGATGTGACAACGCGTGGGAATACCGAGACAACTCCGTCGGGAATTCACTAGTGACGTGCCGATCTCTGCCCATCCCCTTGTTGCAAGCGTGATCATGGATCTATAAAATTTCTGTCCAATACCCAATCACGTGACATATCGATCACGTGCTCGATGCGTCCGTGGGCCGTCAACAAACCACCGAGCGCTGCCCGATCAGAGTTATCAAAACAATACAAAACGCGGTATGTCGCCGATAGCGATCGCGGCTCGACAAGCCCCTAAGCCCGTTTTTTGTCGGTTGACATCGCGCTAATAATACTTATGAGAAAAATGCGCGCCGGACCCCCGTCATCCTCCTTTTGTTTTTAATTTCTACCTCAGTGGCACCGATTTAATTGGGGCCCAACTCGAGCCAGCGCACCACCGTATTTCACCTGGGCTCACTTCATTTGAATATTTAAAGCATTTCGGTCCGCCGTCGCGTTCGTTGTTCCCTTTATTTCAACAAATACAATATTTATATGTTCTTTTCAGGGCCGGTGTCATTTATTTGGTGACGTGGCTTACCGGTGTCGCGCCCTTCCCGGTATTGGAATAGTTAACGCGGCGGACTCTCCCGCGTTCCGTTAAGCGTTTTCGGCGCACCGTCCGCGCGTCCGTTTTTGTTCGCTTTTGGGCGCGTCGCGTCGCGACCGCCGCTCTTCGTTGTTTTCTCGCCGGGGCCCTTATCTCGGACAAGATTGGCCGTTTTTAAATGAAGTTATATCGCCCCGATTGAACGCCGGCCAGCCACGGAGGCGAGGCGAATTTTTAATTAGTCCCCCAAGATGGGGAATTTCAGGGGGAATGCGGCGGTCGTGTCGCGGCTGCGCGCGGATCTCTTAATTGAGACGTGGACGCGGCGCGCCGTGCGACGCCGCGCCGGCCGATTTGTTGGATTCCGGCCGATTAATTATGAATTAAAGGGCTTAAATCGACGTCCACACGCTGCGATCGCCGCCGGCGGACTCGGGCGATCGCTAACGAACGGAATTAATGAACGCACCTTTGCGTAGCGCGGTGTTGAAGGATCGCGTGATATCGCGATGCGGCGCCGTCACTTCACTGCCGCCACATTTTCATTAAAGGGCCGACGGGCGCTCGCTCGAACAAGGCAGATGGAGCAAACGCGTTAGCCATCAAATTAGAAAGCCGATAGCAACCGCACCTTTTAAGAGGAACTATTTTTTTTAAAGAAACCAACATAGTATGAAAACAACAAATGGAGACACTTCTCACTATACCTACTATGTTAGTACGCCAATGAAATTTGGTATATAATTAAATACTTGATATTTGAAAAAATATGTATTAATGTAAACGAGACAGGATAGCGCATAAAGTTTCTATTGTTCTTGGACCAGAGCCATAACACTAAAGCCGACGCTGTCGGGCTCGCGGGCGATGAAACCGCGAACGACCTTCGCCGCGTCCTCCAAAAAGCGCTCCTCATTCGTCTGCCCGTGGCTGATGGGTAAGGATTTCCTGCCATCCAGTTCGTACAAGGTGCCGTCCTTATGTATGAACGTGACGAAGTGGTGGCTCACAACATCCGGCTCGTTCACCGCCTCGTGACTACCGCCATCGACAATGTCTTTATACGCTTCCAACAGGGGCTCGGAGTTTTCTAGAAGCGCTCCCTTAGCTGCCGCGTCCAAGCCTTTGGCGTCGTTCAAGTAGTTCTTCAGCAGGCCGTCTTCCAACTCGATTCGGTTGGTGTTGTTAGCCACGCTGTGCACCAAAGCTATGGTGCCGCAAACGTTGCTCAGCACTTGCTTCAAATGGAACACGTCTTTCGGGACTTGTTGCACTGCGCTCCTCAGTTCTATCTCCTGCTCCTTTCTCAGGTCCTCGTAAGTCTTCGAGAGAGGAAACAGGAGCAGAAGAGCCAGCACGGGACGCGGCAGCCAGCTCAAGCCATCCTCCTCCAAGCTCACCACATCAACCATACGCCATTTATCCGACACTCCCAATCTCTTTAAGTACTTATTCATTGTCTCGGGGTTTGATTCCATCGGTATCACCGCCGACATTTTGCTATCGAATTTATTACGATTCAGTTTATAAACGAAAACAATTTCAATGACAGAGCTAAGAAGCGGCTTTAGTTTTCATTTCTTTATGACACAAACAGCAAAAAGTTCAAATATATATTTTTTGAAGTGCATGACAAAAAGCTTCTTTATGTTAAGTCATTTGGAAATAAAAACAATGATAAAACTTTTGTTGTTCCTTCTGTGTTTACACACAGAAAAAATATACTATAGAGGTAAAGGGTACTTATAAAGACGGCAGGATGGAGGGTGTTACACGGCTGAACTATGCTGCACCGACAAGAGCCTAGCTTTTAAATTAAAGAAGACACAGAAAAATCAATAAGAAGTTTTCATAGTTAGTTGGCATATAGAGTAGTTTACCTAGTTAATAACTATGAAAATTAACTAGTTTTCATAGTTATTTTACATTTTTTATGCGAAAAGTTGTCAAACGAGCAGACGGTTCACCTGATGTTAAGTGAATACAGCCGCCCATGGATATCTGTTTCACCCGAGGGTTACAGATGCGTTGACAACCTTTTGAAAATTGGGCTCCGGCTACCTCACTCACCAGACGAAACGCGAAAGTATTTGTCATACTTCCACTTTACGCTGGTCTTCTGTGAGGTCGTGGTACTTACCCGGACGGGCCTGCCCATTCGTGCAACAGCCGAGGCTGCTGCGTGGCCCTACCAACGTAAAAAACATACTTATTACATCATTTTTACTAATTGATTGAATGATTATTCAAAATTAGTACAGTACAAAGTAACACGGGTAAGTAAATTACCTTAATTCGTAATACGTATAAGGTATGAAAATAATTTGTTACCGTTCATAATTTTCCCATTATTCTACGAGTAATTTCCGCTAACTTTAAATATTGTGCCACATCTATACCAAACCCAATACTTATTATTTTTGATCGGGGGAAATATAACTCATTTTTTACAAGTACTTTTTTTCGATAATTTTCTAAACAATGATTCGTTGTTAAAATACTTTCTATGGCAGAAATTATCGAATACCTACTAGTTGACATGTATTGGATAATCCCTACTACTCAGACTTTCGGGGTGAACCTGTTGAACCCAATTGTTCGGTACCTTTTTCATCTTATATTCGGCCAAATATTCTTATTCAGTTAAGCCTGGCCCACCTTCATTAAATAAAAGTTACTCGGGCGACTTAAAATATATTAGAATATTATACCAGGTGATAGAAGGTCTATTTTTATTTTGATAACCGAATAAAGCAACAACAAGAGGTTTGAAGAATTTGAAGACTCCGTGGCGCAGTTGCCAAGGTATTGACTTCGGCGTCGGGGGTCGTGAGTTCGATTCCACAGATAGTTGTATCGCATCTGGGTGTATGTCCGCGTGAAATTAATGTTTTTAAAACGTCGTTACAACACAGAATAATGTTATCCTACAGTAAGGGCCACGTTTAAAAAAAAAAAAACAAGGGCAATATAAAACACGGATGGGCAATTTCGTGACGATGGAAAACAAGCCACTCGAAAACCTAATGCTACGTGAACAATTACTGGGATGTTTATAACATGCCCTAGGAATTACATAGTTAACATGACAGGGCGATTGTATCAACAAAGGTACCAATAATTGGCGTGTAAAATGAAATTGATATTAATTGCGATGAGCAAATGACTAATATGAGCTACTCGTTACTTAAAACCGTGCCGTCGATCATTAAGGTGATAGCGGTCGGTAGCATTTTATATCTTCATCCGTGAGTCTGGTTGTATTGCAATTTCACTCATAACTTTATTATGGCGAGTTGTGTACTCTAACGTGTGAAATGCAGGTGTTTTCATAATATTCGTTCATACAGCTGCAATATAGGTAAACTAATATTAAGTATGTTTGGTATTAATAAAGGAACAGCAATTTTAGACTGTCACTGTAAACAGGTTCAAATATAGTTACAGAAGTACAGATTAATCAAAACAATAAGGCGTGTAGTATCTTCTTTTGAAGAACAATTTATTGCAATTGGTTAACAATCATGATATCAGCTCGTGTATTTGAGTGATGTATAGAGTTCCATTTATTTAGGTCAATTTTAAAGTTCACATGCTCATTTTTAGGGCGATGATGATAACACAGCTGATGTATATCTGTTGCCGCTATTACAACAAATACTAAAACACATAATAAAAAAATATTTAAGTGAGGCTGACATACATGATATGACCTTTTTGCCGTTTTTATAGATAAAGGTACGGACCCCTTCGTAGGCGAGTCCGACTCGCACTTGGCTGGTTTTTATATTTCAGGCCGAAAATAACGTATATATTCGTATATACGGTCAGAACAGATCAAAGAATTCTATCTCGCCCGAAAGTCAAAGCAATGTCCTAATAACTTGTCCCGTGAGACGTATATATAGATTTTTATTCTGGTTAAAGTTGTCACTTGTGCCATATTGCCAAAATTGTAAAAAAATATTTCTTTTGTAGGACTGAAATGAAAAATAAATTGTTCTAAGATAACAAAAACGTTTGGCTTTATTTTGCTAAATAACCTATTTAAGAAAACAAAGTAGATAAAATACGTTGTGATTTACGTAGGTATGGAGAAAAACCGTTAAGCTCAGAAAAATTTATAATCTTTACATATTATCTTTTTTGAAAAATTATATACATCTTTAAAATCCTAGCAGCCGCGAAAAACTTTTCGTATTATTCTGCAATATTTTTTGTATAATAAATGACAAAAAACATTATGTGTCCATCTTGAATAATATATTTATATGTCTTTCAAATCCTGAAAGAAATTTTCAAATGGAGGCTGTAGTTCCAGTGTTAAGGATATTTTTTTAAGACTAGCTTTTTTTATAAAAATAATCCTATGTTCTTTTTAATCCCTCTAACAATATCTGTATAATCGGTTGTAGTAATAATTTTGGCGCGAAATAATTACAAACTTACATACACATTTATATTAATACCTCTAAGAATATACGTGTGCACAAAGTTTTATGATAATCGGTTAAATAGTTTTGACGTGAAAGAGTAACTTACTTTCACATTTATAATATTGGTAGGGATTAATATTATTAAGGATTAGGTATTATGATAAAGCTCATTAGCTCATTTAACGTATATTTTATTTTAACATAAATAGATACACGCGGACGAAGTCGCGGCTATCGATAAGTAATAGTAAATATTCTCAGGCGCAAATTTTTTTAACAGTCGCAATAAAATGTTTTTATTTCAAAATTTTACCACTACAACTTTAGGGCTCTAATTGAACATCGGTCTGGGTAGCCAGGTATTATGATTCCAGACAAAAATACCTTTATGATACTTATAATCATACAACAAGAAATGCAGGTGGTTCCAGCTTTAAGTCAAGCAGCTGTCAAAGTGAAAATATTAACTCCTTTGAACAATGACCGTCACTGCAGAGAAATACCAAAGATAATGTGTGATGCGCAATTTTATGTTTTATGAGTAATCTTATTCGAAACACGATATACATTTTTTAAGACATGGTGTCATGGGGTACTACGATGGACTGATAATTCTTAGTCATGTTTTCGAAATAAAAAACTCACGGTTGTTGTTTTAAATTGCAACCTGCCGAATCAAATAGTCGTTTATCATCATATACTTTTTTAAAATTTTACTGGCCGTGTTCATATAACTCAAATAATTCAATAAACTCTAGGAACCTGGCTTCGAATCCCGGTGCGGGCAAAAGATTTTGTTTTCTGTGGTCTGCAAAACATCCCGCGGAAACGGAAAATAAAACCAATTAAAAACTCTTATTTAAACTGCCAATTCGAAGTATGGTCACGTAGCGGATTAAGTCCTTATATCCTCTCTATATATGACACATTTTCCCTGCAGTGAAATATGATTACAATGTATAACCTGTTCCTACTAAAACCTAAGTACTATCCAGCTATGTTTTTAGCGCTTAGTGTTATGGAAAGAAAAAAACCTGATTTGAAGAAAATTTTACGTCTGCAGTTTTTGGAATCGGTATGAAAGTAATAATTTATATTATTACTCTAATTTGATAGTATTAACTGTCCCCTTACGATAAGTCTTTTCCTCTGAAGCGTTGAAAAGACTATTTACATTTTATTTATTGAACCTTTTTTTTAAATTTTAACCCCGTTAAATAAATTGAATCTATCGATATATGCTTCTTTGATAATTTCTGCAAACCTTGATTTTATTCTTCCTTCACTTATTGGCGTCATACTTCGCTTATTGTCGTCATTGAAATTAAAAAAAAAATTCCAAATTATAAAAAGCAATTTAAAACGCCCTCAACTAAATCTTTTGTTACCACTAAAAATTCATGGTCTACGCAACGATTGGCAACCGAACTAGTTATATAACATCTTCAATTAGCTGTATAGGTTAACTATTACAAAAGCGCTCCGTCTGTGATCGCCTTTTAACACTCGCGAGAGACTGGTTCCCTCTCATTAAGGTGTCAAATTTTGTCAAACATTCTCGGCATCCATTAAGGACACCGGAGGGGGCGGGGCGGTTGAAAAGTTATCGATGGCCCCGCACAAGAGATATCGATCGGGAGATTTTTGTACGGTGTTAAATACTTTAGTGCTATCGGTTATTTTACAACTAGTCATAATATCTCACATTTGCACAAATGTTAATAAAGACTTATAAGCGAAAAATGAATTTTATAAGCTTAGTTTGGTTCTTCATCTTGATTTGCGTTCAAAATTCAATTAAGAATTATGATTGAATTAATATTATACATATATTATTATAATATTATATAATTTCAAAATATTTTTTCATGATATAAATTAAAAATGAAGTAGGTAGGTACGCGTGAAAGTAATTCTTACTACTCGCGGCAATGACTGAACGGATTTGAATGAAATTTGGAATATGAATAGCTTTAGATTTTACACGGTGCACGCGATGCCACCGGTGAAAGCTAGTTTACGATGTTTTTTACGAAGTAATCGTTGAGCCTATCGTACTA